AATCGATTGATAAATTTGTATGAAATTGAAACATTTTTCTATTCATATATTTGTATATTAAAAAAAGCATGCATCAGAGACATGCATTTTTTCATATTCACTTGTGTTTAAATATAGAAAAACACATTTCCTAATGCATCGAGAATTCGGTATTTTTAAATGTTCATTTATTTGTCATTTAAATTCTTTTTTCTTTAAATTTCATTATTCATTAAATAATTTAAATTGAAAAGTTTTGGTTGCGGATTGCAGACCGAATTTCATTTTTCTACGCATGCCCTTTTCATCTAGTTTTTTGTTTAAGAATGTAATGTTTTTTTCAAGCTGCAAGGAATAATATTAAAAAGTACCGCTTTATCAATGGATATTTACAACAATTTTTACAGTAGTATCTCAAGGTCTGTAATACTCTATCATTAATAATATATTATATATCTTATATAATACTCTATCATTAATGATTATATGTTATATATATAAAATTAATTTTTGTTTTAGGTTCATCGATATTGGCAAGATTCTATTCCACTGTTTGCAGTTTGTATTCCGATAGTAGTTAAAATGTATGAATAATATTATATCTTAAAATGCACCAAGTTGTGTGTGCGTAATCAACAATCTATGAGGCATAAGATTTCCGAGAATGCACTGCGGGACAGTGCACATTTATTTGAAAATCTTGCGTTAAGATTTCCTATACTTAAGGTAAAAAGATATAAGTGACCTACATATTAAATAAAATTAAACTCTTATTCCTACGGAAAGAATACTATATCTAGTAATAAATCGATCTTCAAAAGTTCACAAAATATCAGAAAACAGTTATGTCGTTTATTGTTTCAATAATTTTCCAATTGGACATACCTCACGCAGGACCAGAAAAAAATGTATTTTATTGAATAGTTTGCGACAATAATTTTCATACTTATAGTCTTTCAATCTTAATGATTATTATATTAAATTAAAGTACAGTCTTTGCCCTCCACGAAAAATACTTTTCACAGCTGCAAGACTCGCGTTTTAAATACTTAAAATCCCAGAGAATGAAGTGCTGCAAAGTACATATATTTCACACGTAGCTTTCATATCTTCGGAACGTTCTCGTCAATATTTTTTACAGTTAGAGTGAACAAATTTGAATAAACTTTCTTTTAAATTACAGTACACTCTTTGCCCTCCACGAAAAATACTTTTTTAGGCTGTTAGTCTTTCGTTTTAAATACTTAAAATCCCAAAGAATGAAATGCTGCAATCAAAAATGAAATGAGCAAGATCAAAATATAATCAAACATAAATGATATGATTATTTAAACTGTATCGAAAGGCAATTGAATAGATTCCTGTCTTATCAAAAACTGGTAAGAACTGTACCAGTAATCGGGAAAAGTAGTTTATAGAGATCTGCATTATCAATGAATGATTATTAGTACGTTAGTTATATACAAGATTCAGGAAATTATTCTTATATTGTTATTATTTTTTTTAAAAGAACGTTGTAATAATACATTTATAGTTTTTTTGAACGAATAATTTATCCAATACGTTATCGATTGAATTGAAAATACAAATGTTTGTTAACGAGCGTTCGTGTTTCTTGAAATATCGTATTTACTTCCTATAATGATTGTTGTTTTACAAAGATAAAAAAATGTTATTCCTCTTCTGAATATTGTTGAGTCACAGTTAAGAGGCATTAAACAATGACAAAGCAAAATGCATTCCTATATTCTGTAAGGATTTTGTTTTTTATTTGTTAAGAGAATTATCAAACTCTACGGAAGATATTTATCCTACTTTTAATGCGAATATTATTGATTACTCTTTTAATTTATATTTAAATATATATATACCTACAATTAAAATATTTAATATTACAATAAATTCGTGGAATTAATTTAGATATTTTCTAACAAAAATGATCAGTATTATTTATATATCATCAATGATTTAGACATTTTTTTCGATTATTTTAGAAGATATTGTCGAGTCATTTAAAAGGCGATAAGAAAAGCTTGTAACGATACATTGAATAATGATATGGTATTTTTAAAAGTCACATTTCAAAGAATGCAATTTTTAAAATAAAAAGTGAGAAACAGAAGGATTACTCATCGTTTTAGTTCAATACTAGAAAAACTATCGAAGGATTCTTGATAGATAACTGAGGTAAAAATGTGTGTGTGAACAAGGTTATAAGAAAAGAAAATGGAATATTTAGCAAGAAATAATAAATCAATAACCATGTTTTTTAGTAATGATTGAAAATTTTTTTAGCATTTTTTTTATACATATTTTACTAAGTATAAACAGTTGTGGTAATTAGAAAAGAGACAGAAATATTGAAACATGTTAAAGTTAGAAGATAAATAATCCATAAATGTGTAATCCTAAATGATCCTTATTGAAAAAGGGCAAATGGCAACGCCCACGGTTGTCGTCAATTGTAAGATTACAGAACAAGCTAGAATGATATCTATCTCTGTTTCTCTCTGTTTTACTTCTCTGTTTCACTTCTCTGTTTCACTCTCTGTTTCACTCTCTGTTTCCTTCTCTTCGTGAACAAAATACTTGTCAACGAGAGAGGCAGCACCGTAGTTCTTGTGATCATTTATATAGAAAGCTTGTAGAACCGGTATTAGATCAGAGTGACTGTAATAATCATTTCGAAAACATCCAAAAGCGATTTAAGAACAGGTTTGTTTCGACTATCTTCAAATTATCTTGATTATTATATTACAAACAAGTGTTCTAGTAACAAATTCTAGTGAAATTAAAATTAATTATATTTTTTATGTAGTTCAATGAACATCGGTCAAAGTTTTATTTTAAATTGTGAAACTAGGCAAAAGAGAACATTCCAGACATTTGGCCTTGAATTAATAAGAATCGTTATTTGTTACGATGTTAAAAATCTTTAACCAATACATATATCATTTTACTTTTTAGCATGATTGTTGCGTGTAATTATATATCTTTATATATATATATTTTTTTATTTTTTTTTATTTTTGTGAATTCGGAAGCTCGATGCATAAGAGGTTTTATTTCCATCGACGATAAGCAAGTTAAAAATGTCCTTGAATGATGTTTGTGTCAATTGTTTTGTATAATTTAATTAACAAAATTGATCGGTGACCTTAAAAAATGATCATAGTAATGATTTTTTTTTTTTAAATCAGGGGCGGAACTACAATACCGTAAAACCAGAATCTGGAAGTGTTTTGTTACAATAAATAAGGAAATTCATAATTTATCTATTGTTAGCAGTAGAAGCTTAAATTGCTAATGAAATGAATCAAAAATATATAATTAGAGATTTTGCAGATTTAAAATTTCGACAAAAAAAATGTTATACATTTAATATTCTTTATATATTATAATATAAGATAAGAGTTTATATAATATAAGTTTTTTATTCCTGGAGGTTTAAAATAATATTTTCCAAGGTGGGTCGAACATTTGTAGTTCCGGCACTGCCTTAAATGCACCATCTCTCGTGTGATTTAGATAATCAGAACTATCAGAGATAAAAAGTTTTTTCATTTTTCAACCATATGATAAGTAATATTCTTATATATAAATTTGATTAATAATAAAATGATTAGAAAATTGTTGTTGTAAGTAATTCCGGTGATTAACGTAAATAGGATTTAAATATGATTGGATATGTTATTTTCTAAAGCGACAAAATGCCGATCGATCTTTATCAAACACCAGGCAGCGCACCATGTTCGGCTGTTCGTTTAACAGCCGCGGCTGTCGGCGTTAATTTAAATTTGAAAGAAACTAATTTAATGGCAGGTGAACATTTACAACCAGAATTTTTGAAGGTAACCACTTATATTTCGATTTAATTCATTCAAAAATTCCTTTTTATTTATACTATTTGATTTATCGTAGATGAATCCACAACACACTATACCTACAATCGATGACAATGGTTTTTACTTATGGGAAAGGTACGTTAATTATCCCGTGTTATTAGTATTGTTACGATAATGAGTTATCCGTTTCCCACAGTCGTGCAATTATGGGATACTTGGTCGATCAGTATGGTAAAAATGATTCATTGTATCCAAAAGATCCTAAGAAACGTGCCGTTGTTAATCAAAGATTGTTCTTCGACGCTAATATTTTATATCAATCGCTCGCCGAATATTACGTAAGTTATATATATAAATATGTTATTCGTAATAAAAATTAATGACACACTCTTACATGTTTGATCAAATAGTATCCAATGATCTTTGCTGGAGCTCCTAAAGATAATTCCAAATACGAGAAGATAGAAAAAGCTTTCGAATTTCTCGATAAATTTTTAGAAAACGATCCATACGTCGCTGGTCAAAATTTAACTATAGCCGATCATTCTGTCGCAACCACTGTTTCTAATTTCGAGGTAAAATAAGTCAAAAATATGAGTAGTCAGTTCCTCCGATATAATTTATTTAAAATAAATCATATAGACGATTTGTTTTATCTCATTATTATTATTATTATTATTATTTTCAGCTCATGGAATACGATTTCAGTAAATTCCAGAATGTAAGTAAGTGGTTTAAGCGTGTCAAATCTGAAATTGTTAAATACGATGAAATTCGTACTGCGGGTATAAAAGCTTTCAAAGCTCTTATGGATACTCTCAGTAAGAAGAAGTAAATTTTTCTACACAGTTTACGTAATACAATATATTAAAGAAAAATTACTTTTTAAGAATTTTGAATTGTTCTTATATTCTGTCGAATAATAAATATGTACTATATATATTATGTGACGATAAAAGTGTTTTCTGCATTACTTTTAAAAGAATATTCTGTCGAGAATGTAGAGTTATGACTGTAACATTATCGGTAATATAGGAACCCAAAGGCGAAATACAGATATTATTTTTTATAATACAATCACAAGAGAGAATTACATATAAAAATAAGAATAGAAATTAAACTTTAAAAAAAAAATGAGATTTATTCAAATATCATTTTTAAAGAGGCAATTTTGTACAATATATATCAATCAAACACCAACTACTTCCAAGCTGCGTTGTCTGAGTAAAGTAAAGTACGACATTGCGGTACTCATTACCTAAAAATGAAATGTATTCGATTGAGAAATTGTTTAATTCATTGGGGAACATAATTAAAATAAATTTTACTGCTGTATAAGTTTCCAAAGATACATTGAAGAATCCACCGGCAGATAGGCTGCAAGGTGTTCGAGCTCTCATGATAATTAGTAAAATATCTTTCCTCAAGACTTTACCAATTTTATTTAAGGGCATTGACATCCACGATGAGGAATATGCTGCCTCAGCAACGTCTCTACTTTCTTCTGTCAATATATTACAACTAAATGTGAACATCATCAATTGTATCAGGGTACCTGTCATGTAAAATATGAAACTGGCGCGTCGAGTAGGAGCTGCATCTGCCTAACAACGTGTGCATACAAACTTACCATAAATATTTTTCACAAATAATTAGGAATTAAAAGTCTTATTATTTTGTATAATATTTGTACTCACTATAAGTATTTCATAGCCCACAAGACATATCAATATACTGAATAGTAATACTTGACCAAGTATAATAAAAGTAAATACGTGATTTAAATCCTCGCAATAATTGATAAGCATTTGATGCTGTACGATACATTTCTTAAGTTCATTATAAACAAATTGTAATCGATTAAACGAATAAAAATCAGGAGTATCGTTGTTTTCCAATTTTTTTTCATGATCAATTTTAACAAGACGATGTTGCAAAATACGAAATTGGGCTGCTGCGTGAAGATTCATGATGCATAATAAATTGTCAAAGCAGAAATAACAAATACCTACAGTGTAGAGGGATAATACCTAGAATATAGGAAACGAAAGAATTTTAAGAGAATATGAAAACAATGTAATAACAATTAAAATAAAATACCTGTATTACGAATGTTGCTTCAAAATACGGTGTCATAGAAAAAGGTAGATCAACCCACATTGTAAATGGAAGTATCCTGTCCGATTCGTTTTTACCAATGTTTTCTAAAAACTATACAAAAAGTATGATCCATCATAAAATGAATTAATCATCAATAAAATTCTTACCAACAATCGGTGTTACCACGTAAGTAAAAACGGTACCCTGCGCAAAGAAAGTGAACGAGCAAACAAAGTACGTACACTGTTTCCTACAATCTTTAATGATCGTATTTTCATAAGATTCGTAATGAAAATTCCAGAAATGATCTTGCATGTATTTGATTAGATATAAAAATTTTCTACGATGGAGGGATAATATTAACATTTTACATAAAACCATAACGAGGGTCATAGTATTGCACAAGATATAAATTGTCTCCTATAACGTTATTAATAATATTAAATGTATGTATATAAACGATTAGGACAATTTTTGATTAATCCTTTCGTTGTTAGCGACCATAGAAAAAGGTCCTGTATGAATACCGCGACCCATTTAACGAAAGGATTAAATGTTTACTAATATGTATGGTAATAAACTCACAGTGAAATCGTCTCGGGAATAATAAAAATCGGTTACTTCGACGTAAACAGCAAAAGAGACAGCACCAGCGGTATAATACAATGCAATTCGTCTTCGAAATTGTTCCGAAGGATTGGCGGCTAACCAAAAGCCGGCAAATTTCATGAAAAAGATAGTCAAGATTATCGATACGTCCTGTTCCACATGATCCTGCATGGTGTATGCATGAGGGTGTATGCATGAGGGTGTATGCATGAGGGTGTATGCATGAGGGGGTATTATTCGACTATACACTTTATTCTCGAGTCTAGAACGATAGGTAACTTTTGACGTTGACTCGTGACGAGCGATTATCATAATAACTAGCTGTCATCGTTAGTTGTCAGTGTTAGCTTTGATCTATTGTCATCTTTCGTCAGGATCTAATGATACCTGTCATGCTAGAAACTTAGATCTTCTACGAATACCTCTACCGAGGTCTATAATCTTCATTTTTGGATTCGTACCGATCAAAGACATTTTTCGGAGATTTTCTTCGATCGATGGAATTTCTTCGGGTAAAAATGATGACGGTCAGTTTTAGGTGTCGTCAGTGTTCCTATTTGTTAGACACGAAATATAATATATCTGATCTATGAAGTATTCAGTGTCACATTTTAGTTGAATCCGATTGTGTGAGTGCAATACTGTGCAATATAGTGAGTTCAACAATTTTCAATTGAAAGTCATTTTAATAGAAATAAAATCGGCAATTTCTATTAATGATGATAGGAGAAAACTGTCTAAAAATACCTCTGACAAAATTATAAATCATAATAATCATTATTTCAAATGTGAATATTCTTTGGTTAATAGATTAATACGAGAAGCAGTTTGGAACAGTAAATATTTTACTTTCAATTTTTAGACAACGAGATTAGGAAATTATCGTTTCGCCATTCGATTCTTCATCTTCGGCAAACTTACGTAACAACGCGAAGTAAGATGCCGCAGTACTTAATACCTTAAATTAATAATTATATTGTTTTGGAATAATAGGTAAGTGAAAAAGACTTTTGATAATGACGAAGAAGAAAAAAAAGATTAATTACCGACATAAATGTTTCAAGGGAAACAGGAAAAAAGCCACCAGCTGTAATGTAACATGGTCGATCAGCTCGTGCCATAATCGTTATGATTCCCATTCGAATATTTTTATATGGTTCGTAGGATAATGTCTGCCAATTAGCATTATATGCCGCGTCACCGACTGCACGACTCTCGATAATTACTTCATTAGCAGCTAATGTTATTACGAATAATTGGAAGAAACAACCATTGATATGTGATATGAATATGAATTGACGTATTATTATTCCACGTGCCTTTTAATAAAACAAAAAAAAAACAAAAAAGAAAAGAGAAAAAAAAGATGAAAATTAATGAACGAATAAAAGATCGACAAAACTAATTATTGCAAAAGCTAATAAGATTAGAAGAGAAAATAAAAAGTAAAAGTATTCAATGTACCAAGAAAACTTGAAATCCAGCAACACACAATAAAATACCGGACATCAATAACTGGCACAATGTAGACATCGTAAATATCTTTTCCAACTCTTCGACATAATCGATAAGCATACGATGATGTTTAACGCATCTTTTGAATTCTTCTAAAGTTTCTCGTGCATCTTCGACTTGGCAAACTTTGTCACGTGTCATATAAGACAATACGCTCTTATCCAACAATATTTCCAATCGATGTTGAAGGATACGAAATTGTCCGGCTACTGTTAAATTCAACAGGCATAGAAAGTTGTCGAAACAACAGAAACAAAGTCCCGAATGTATCAACGCGATAACCTGCCAAATTATACGCGACTTCATTAAAAATAATTCGAATTTCTTTAACGATTATAATTATTATTCGAAAATAAATATCGTTGTTACCTCCATTAGAAAAGCAATTTCGAAGTATGGAGATAAATGAGTGTCTAAACCACCCAACCAAACGTTGAAAGGAAGAATTCTGTCGGTCTCATTTTTCCCAATATTTTCTAGCAACAAAATAATTCAAATTAGAAGAAGAAATTAAATACTGAAATACGTGTGACAATTATAATATATACCTTTTTGATGATAAAGTTTCATAGGGAACTTGGACATGAAAAGAAGTAGAACTTAATTTAATTGAGTTGGACGTTTCGTCCCTTTATTGGGACTTCTTCAGCAACTTAATCATTAAAGCTCAGCGTCTTTTTTATTTATTTCGACATACATTTCTTTTTATAATATTCCAAAACACAATACGTCTAAACTTCGTTAGTTTGATCGTTATTATTTAAAAGCCTCAACGAAACTGTTTCAATCTAGACTGAATTAGATAGACTGAGTAAATAAATAAGACGCTGAGCTTTAATGATTAAGTTGCTGAAGAAGTCCCAATAAAGGGACGAAACGTCCAACTCAATTAAATTAAGTTCTACTTCTTTTCATGTCCAAGTTCCCTATGAAACTTTATCATCAAAAATTATAATTTTGGACGAGAGAAAATACTAAATAATATATACCTATTATAGGAGTCAACATGTAAGTAAATACGGTACTTTGAACGCAACACGTGAAACAACAAATTAAAATGCTTCCTTTTATGTTAACGTCGTTCAATATCTTTTCACCGAATTCGTCGTATTCGTTGAACCAGAAATTCTTTTCCGTATAACGAATTAATTTCATCATATCTTTTCGATTACGTAGAAGAATAATTATCTTCATTATAATTACTACAACTGGCATCGAACTGCAAGCAGTGTATGTTATAGCCTACAAACATTTCATATAGTAATTTAATGTTTTAAACGACAATTTAAAAATAAAGTAATAGAAAACTCACGTAAAATTCACCGAAGCTAATATAAAAATCGTAAGCCTCGATCCATAAAGCCAAACCAATCGCAATGATGGTGTAAACAAAAATTGCATTTAATAAACGTTGTTCGGTAACCGTATCCGCTGTCCAAAAGCCAACAGTTTTCATTAAAAACCGTGCCACGTTAACTGCTAAAAATTTCGATTTGTTCATCATAGTTTGTCGCATGATACTAACGTCGATCATTTGAAGTCTCGAAGATTCTAACGTTACGATTATTAATTTAAAATTACGTAATAATACACTGTGCGAAGTAGGATAAATGTATTTTTCTTTTCTTTTAAACATCTAAGAAACATGAAAGCCAATTGACTTTCGATATAATAACATTATTTTTATCTCATATTTTATTTTTAATATATATATATATAGTATAAGGTTAAAAATAAATTTATTAATATTTATTTATGATTCTTTTTTTAAGTAAAAGAAAAGATTTTTATCGATGAAATGGTTATAGCATGAAAAAAAGTGAGGTGGAAAAATTCTAATGGAAAGTATACTTAAACGGTAGTTGGATGGATAAATTATTAGGATCTTTCAACGAGGTAGAAATAGTGAAAGAAGAAGTGAGTCGATATTGAATTATAGAGTATAAAGAAATATGACTGGCGAATGATTGTGGGATAGATCAAAGAATAAGAATAATAACAGTCCCGTCGTGAGAACATAAGAGAGGGTCGTAACGTGGGATAGTTCAACGAATGAAACACACGAGAGAACAGAAAGAGAATGGTGGAAACCTGAAATCACACGGAGGGATGATAATGAAAGATAAGAAAAAAGTATAATCGTCTTTCCTTAGCGTCGTAGAAAAATGCACAAATTGTTAAACATTGAAAATTGAATTATTAATTATAATAGCAGTATTATATTGTTAATATTAAATTCATTTGAAGTAAATTTAATTTATCAAACTAAAAACTTCAGTCATTTTCGTCGTCGAATTTTCTCAATAACGTGAAATAAGAAGCCGCTGTGCTCAAAACCTAGAAAATAAAAACACTAATAGAAATTGAAAAATAATAATGATAATAAGTTTGAAATTTTCGGGAAAATGACTATAGAATGAAATTTGAATTACCGCCATAAATGTTTCGAGAGATACAGGAAAGAATCCACCGGCTGTTATGCAACATGGTTTTCTGGCACGGATCATGATCATTATAAGACTAGTTTTGATCTTGGACAAATTTTCGGATGGCAGGGATGGCCAATTTGCAGCATACGCGCCATCGCTCACGGCTTGACTGGCAATCAATATCTCGTTCGCCGTCAAAGTTATAACGAAAAGTTGGAAGAAACATCCATTGGTGTGAGCGATGAATATCATTCGTCTAATCAACGTTCCTTGTGACTTTCTCGTGGAAAATTATTCATTCAATTAAAATATATAAAAAAAAGAACAAAATAATATTTCATATTATATATTTTCATTATCAAAGACTAGAGAAAATGAGAAAATAATATTTACCAAGAACACTTGAAATCCTGCAACGCAAAGTAAAACGCTCGATATCAGCAGCTGGCACATCATCGCGTAACTAAAAATGTGTTCTAATTTTTTCACGTAATTGATTAATTCGTTATGCCTTTTAACGCAATCCGTGAGTTTGTCGTATATAATGGGAATAGTTTGTTTAAAAGAATCCTCCATATCCCAATCAAAAATGTTCTTTAATTTGTATTGAAGTATTTTGAATTGGCCAGCTGCGTGTATGCTTAGAAGGCATAAGAAATTATCGAAACAGGCAAAACAAACGGCTGTGTGTATCAGGGCGAGAGTCTGCGAAATTAGATGTCGAGAGATGTCGGAAAACAAATCAATTTTAAATATCGATGGGAGGGGGTGGGTGTTAGTAGTAGTTAAGACGTTCAGAGGATCATTCGTTTGTGACACGATGGAAAAAGAAAGAAAGAAAGAAAGAAAGAAGGGTCAAGAACAGGCGAGGTAATACGATCAAGAAGGAAAATGTAATTGGTCTCGGTGAAATTACCTCAATCGTAAAAAACACTTCGAAATAAGGAGTCGTTGTTTTTGGTACGTCGATCCATAAATTAAATGGTAGAATCCTATCGCTATCATTTTTCCCCCAGTTTTCTGCCCATCGATAAAAAAAATAATTGCACATACAAAAAAATGATAATAACGATTCAAGGAACTATTTGAATTATTACCTATGATCGGTGTCAAGGTATAAGTAACAGCAGTTCCTTGAACAAAGAATGTAAAGGAACACATTAAAAATATTCCCTTATTGTCGATCTCGTTTAAAATCTTTTCACCGAAATCGTCGTATTTTTGGTACCAAAAATTCTCCTGGGTGTATTTAATCAATTTCATCATTTTTTTACGATGCAAGATAAATATTGATATTTTAATTAACACTATTATCACTGGCATTGTACTGCACGCTGTATAAGTCAATGCCTGTAAGACAATTTATCCACGTTGTTATTGAATTTTCACAAGATATATCATTGAATAACAAACTTTTTCATTCTTTCTTTTCCTTATTTTTTTTTTCTTCTTACATTAATTACAATTGAACTCACATAAAAATCGCCCCAATTGTAATAAAAATCCAAAGACTCGACACTCAAAGCAGTACTGACAGCTATTAAAGTGTACAATAATATTCCATCGAATATCCATTTTTCCTTAGTAGTTTCAGGATACCAAAAACCAACGGTTTTCATAAGAAACTCTGTTATTCTTATTGAAAAGTACATAGACGATTTACTTGCCATAATCTAATGTACGACTGTCTTGTTTCCACGTGCAACTAAATTACAGATATAGTCAGCATTTAATGAAAGATGTCAGACGCGTCAAACTTGACACTTCTTTGACAAGACTATAATCCTTCGTTCTATGAAACCTTTTTTAACCTAAGCGTTTAGGGAATAAATTATAAAAAAAAAAAAGGTACGATTAAAATTTCTTTGAAAATTGAACTTGTCTTTCAATAGTTGACATTTTTCATACTTCGAAAGTTTTCTTGTTGCATTTAAAATATCATAGACTCCATCTAACGGGTAAAAAAAATGACTAGACAGAAAATCAATACGTTTCTTTGGCGTTAAAGTAAAGATAATAAAGCAATAAGGAATTTATTAAAAAAAAGAAAAAAAAGACACACGTTTATCGGATGTAAAAAGAATATGATATTATACTTACCAGTAAGGTTTGTATTTTCTAGTTACATACTGTAGTTGATTAGATGGCATTTAATGCCACTTGTAGAATCCTATATGTTAACTCAGAGTAAATTTACAGTATATAAAAATGGAAATATAGAAAGAGAGTGACAGTATGAAAAATAAAAGTAGATCTTTATAAATCGAGGGGCGATTTTTGAAATTTATTGCCGCTTCAACAGCTAGAATATACACAGAGAAACGCGTCTCTGGACGTGAAAGAATAGGCACGACGCATCACCGAATCTTTGTGTCGATAATAACATTTATATATGTAAGTATATAATAACAGTTTAGTGAGGGTGGGATGGGGGGTTGGGGGGGCAGGTTTTTTTTAGAGGCATATCGACGTTTGATAATACATTGCTTTTTTGGTAGTATATACGCACTTCTTGATACAATGCTAAAAACACTTATCATCAATTTCATTTTTTAGTAATTTCTTTCTTATTATTTTTTTCTTATCTTCTTTCCGTATTTTGTTTTCTTTATGCGAACATTTCCTTACCTAATATGTTTCTATTATTTCATTTTGTTATTAGGATAACGCATTTTTTATCCGACATAACAATTTACACATAAAAATAAGAAAATATTTTTCAAAGTAAAACTTTTTGGCGTGCTGTCGTGTGTAGTAGTCGGTTACAATTAAAAAATATTATTATTATTATTTCTTCTTGTGTTTGTATTTTTTTTTTATTCTCTCGGCGGGTAGTAGGCTAAGGACTTTTGAAAAGTCGCTCATGGACATACCGCTTGTTGTATGTTTAAGCTATTTCGTAGATTTTTTTCTTTTTCTTCTTTTCTCCTCTCTATATGATTACAAAACGCAATATTTGATTTATCATCGTTAATTTGTCAAAAGAAATTTAATCGTCTCCTCTACGGAGAACAAAAACTTCAGTTAAATCTAAATTTTTATGTTAATATACAAAGTATGCCTATAGCAGATTGCACGTGTGTGTTCCTGTGAAGATAAATCATTTTCTTTTCTAATAAAACGTATTTCTAATCACAAGTCTAAGAGAGAAAGTTAGAGAGAGAGAGAGAGAGAGAGAGAGAGAGAGAGAGAGAGAGAGAAAAGACAGAGAGAGCTAACAGATTGAAAAATATTTTTGATATAAGAACCACACATATAAATCTATTTTTTTTGTAATTAATAAAAACAAGAAAGAATTGATCGTGATAAAAACAATAAAATATTATACAAACCGTAAGCAAAATAAATTTCATTTGACGAATAAATATTCAATTATTTTCTATAGATATAGACATAGACACAATTGTCCGATCTATTTAACAAGTCTATCTAAAAATTTTCTAATAATAGCGTGTAAAAGTGAAAATCTGTCATAAGCAAGAACTTAATCGGCATATTAGAGTGACAAAGCGTATGTGTTTGATATAACAATAACGCAATCATTGCAAAAGGCATAATTACATAATGTGTAGAATAGAATCTTAATTAATGAATTAATTAATCATTTCAAATTCATCACACATTTGTTTCTGATCCATTCGCGTCCTTCGATTCGCTACTTTTATCATCCTTTCCTTTCGAACTTAGCTTAGAATTAGACTTTATAGACATGCATACACACACATACATTTTATCTTAACGTATTTAAATATATTTATTTTATTTATTTTATTTATATTCGCGTGTGAAAAGGATCACTTAGAAAATATCTTATTTAAGTATAGAAAGATCATATATATATATATTACGTACAATTTTTTTTGTTTTGTTATTTTTTTACAATAAAAACTATTCGCACGTCCCATAAAACCTCGATAACTTCTTTTTTCTAAGATGAATCAAACGATTTTGTTTATTTTTTGTTTGTTAATTTTTTTCACCGAGTTACATTCTCGATGCAATTTTTTTTCTTGGTCCACTCTTTAAGTTATCTGGTTTTTAGAAGATGCGCAAATACTTTTTACTTATCGCCTTATGTTTATGTACATAATTTTGTGATAAGGGAAACGATTATAAATTATTTGTTTACTCTTATTATATACACAGAAAGATTATAAATTATAAAAATATTTGTTTCATTTAATAATATGAGGTGATAAATGATTTAAAATAAAAATGATTATATTGGTGGTATGCAAATAGTGTGATACAATACCGTTCATTGTCGGATAAATCGTGAAAAGAGAATTACGGAGAAAGGAAAATTTGCAAAGTTAAGAATATTAGGGAGAAAATTTTGAAATAGTATTTTGTTGATGATCACTATTCACGGCTAAGAACTTGACAATGGATGCATCCATATGCCCTTGTGTCATTCTTAGCTATTGTTAAGAACCTAAGTTAGAATTGAATGGATTTTTAAGAGAGAACTCGGATGGAAACGAATGGATACGTAATCAAAGTTTTCCTTTAATTTCTTTCGCATGTACTTACGTTACCTTTTCTGATTTTTATTCTTATTCGAAAAACACCTACTCGAATTCGCATTTTCTATTCAAAAAAGGAAAAAAGAAGACTTTTAGCACGTATACATGAATACACATTTTTATGACAAATAAAATATAGAATTAATGACAAATACATGTGAGAATTCATTTGATAACTTAATTATTATACCTGATTACTATACTTTATCTCTTTTTACAGTCTCGCATATATATATATAATACATTATACAATACATATTAGATACAATCTCGTTCATAGATTCGCGCACATATTCGTCAATAACAGGTGGGATGGGTGGAGGTTGGGGGTGACAATAATTTCAAATAAAAAGATAAATTCTATGACTCAAATGCGACATTATTGTGATGATTTTTTTCCTCTTTTTTTTCTTTTGTAGAAATCAAGCGTGCTCCTTGAAGAAAAGCTCTTTGTAAAGCTTCATTACGTCGTAATATATATTTTCCCGTTGAGTTTATCTACTATAATGAGGCATTGAGCTTTTTTACGGATTTTTTTTTCCTCTTTTCAAACACTTTTTTTTTTTAAACTCTCGTTTTTACACACCGTCCGTGTGTTTTTTTTTCTCCGTGTAGTACGTATGTGTAATATTTCTTTCTATTCTTTTTTTTTTGTTTTTTGTTTTTCTTCTTCTTTAACTTTCTATGCTTACAGTGTGTTAGATCGTGTGCTGCGCGTTTAAAAAACTTGCTGGACATTTAAACTCCACATTTTACGATATGCGTGGAGATAATGCATTTAATATATTTTTAATAATACAATTGTTTGTGTTATTGTTTTTAATAACTACGTATACTGTTTGCAGATACTTTCAACGAAACGAAACGAAACTTATGATGGTTTTTTTTATTTTTTCTCTTTTTTTTTTGTTTTCTGTCGGCTAATTCCGAATTTTCCACGAACTATTATAATTTCGAAACTCGAATCAAATCTCATTTGCAATATTTCTTTTCTTATCCAAATACAATGAAGAAACAGTATTATTAGTCGTTTCTAAATTCCTCATGATTCTCGGTGCTTTCGAAAACTAGAACTTTAAAGTTAAAATTTTATCCGTAAGAAAAAGTATAAATAAATACTTTAGATAATATATTTATCTTAGAAAGATATATTAATTATTGAAAACTCTTTACAATTTCGATCGTGATACATCATTTTGATATACTATTTATAATATTATTATTATTATTATAATACATTTCTCATTGTATTCGTATTTATTTAAACATTATTACGTATCTCGTATATCGCTATTAATAATTATTCGCATAACGACACGTGAACTTTCTTAAATATCATTTACGCATGATTGAAAAAGAAAATGTGAATATTTCTTTTGAAAAAATATTGCTCGCGTTTTTTTTTTTATTACTATCATTGTACAGAGTGTCGAAAGTTTTTCCGGCCAAACGGAGTGAGCATATTCTATGCACGAAAATAAAAACACAAAGTTATACAAACATAGATCATTTAAAAAGTTTCATAAGATACGAATCATAAATCATTTATACCTACTAATAAATGACAAAATGAGTGAATTTTTTTTAGGTGTTAAGAAATGATCTCAAATATCTACAAATATACATTGATAAAATAAAATTAAAAAACAAACAAAGAGAGAGAGAGAGAGAGAGAGAGAGAGAGAGAATGAAGGATGCTGAATTAGAGTACTATTCTTACGGCAAGTATCGTATAACAACAGTAATACAATATAGTTAACGTTAGATAATATAATAAATAATTATCTATTTACATGCAGACAGGTAAACGTATGCTTAAATCTTAATGCATCTAATACAAACATAATATATATATACATACATATTATGTTACGTAATATTATAATAATCATTCTCGTAAAAACATTCCATTACGTTTCACGAAAAACATACACATCGACGCAATCAGCATCACGTTACCGAAAATTCATCGATCGTTTTTTTAAATTTAATCTAATAGATCCTGTAAGCCCTTTAGACGATATTTTTAAAGACGTATTTGTCTTTCTTATGAATAATTTTATCCTTTTTCAATGAATCCCTACAAAAAAAACGTATCTTCTATTCTCCTTGTTCTATTTTTCTCACCAATTTTTCACTTTACTATCTATTATTTTATTTATTATTTTTTTTTAATTGCTTATAAATTCATTTCAATTATTCGGTTAATTACAATTGGATATGGATAAAGGATACATTTCTCGATATCGTATCATATCATATGTGTGTGAGTATTTTTTTGTATGTGTATACATATTTCGCCGACACGTTACAACTATTTGAAACATTCCATCGTCATTCCTCGTATAAAAACCTTACGAAAATAATTGCTCTATCGTAAAATCCCGCAACAAACCCGTAAAGAGCGAATCCTTCATTCTTTCCCCATAGTTTAAGTGGTTCAACCCACAGTTTGTCTTAATCCCTATAAAGATTTCGAAGTAAATTTCGCTTTCGTTACAGAAATTTTTTAGCGAACGACTATAACGTTCGTAGGTGTTTTTTTCTTTTTTTTTTTTTTTTATACATTTACCTATTGTATATATATTAAATTGTATATTCACCCTCTCCCGGTCATCCTCCCTCTCTCTCACTCTCTCTCTCTCTCTCTCTCTCTCTCTCTCTCTCTCTCACTAAAAATCGTCTACATTTTTTTTCTAGATATATTCGTATTGTTTTTACAAAATTAAAAGTTATGCGATTACATCACGAACTTCCTTTTTGTCTAACATAAAAAAAAAAGAGAGAAAGAGAGAGAGAGGGAGAGAGAGAGAGAGAGAGAGAGAAAAAAATATATCCATACAGATTACATATCTGTACGCATATTCTTTCCAGCCCTAAGTATATTTCATTTATTTTTTTGTTCTGTATCTTTAAAAGGCGAATCGTTTAGTCGATAATAATAATAATAATAATAATAATAATAATAATAAGTGGTCGTAAGTATGGAACAAGAAACACGACTACTACTCCTGTTTGTCGCGAAGAAAATACAACAAAATTTGTTCTTTTTTAAGATCTTTTCCTTCAGATTACGATAAAGTACAAATCCACTGTATTTCTATCTTATTTCTTTCGTGTGGTTTAGAAAAATTCAACTCGTACTGATACGACATTTGTATGCAGTGGTATACATAGTTATCTGTTGATAGACGTATGTGCATGTATGTGTATGTGTGTATGTGTATCCGTTCTTTTTTCTTTTTTTTATATCCTTTACTCCTATTCGTTCTTTTAATAATATGGAACTTCAACCCTGCAGATTGTTTGTATGTATTTAAGAAAGAGAATCACAAGAAAAAATGAAATAAAATCAAATTTTTGTCAATCCTTTTATCCTAATAGAAATCGTTATGCACGTTTGTCCTTTTGTATCGAATAAGATCACCGTTCTTTTAGTATTAAATATCAAGATCCGTTTATATTTTTTGTCAACTGTAATTTTGATAATTGATTTAATGAAACTTGCGATATCGATTGCATTATGTATTTCTTTTTCATTATTTCCAAAAGATCAAATGTTAAAAAATAATAGCTTAACCGCATGAACGGTGAACGAAAATTATAAAACGAAATGTTGTTGATTTATGAATAAATGAAATATTCGATTTTTACGGTGAAAAAATTTGTATTAATCTTGATTCTTATATTTTCGTTAAATACGATTGAAAATGTTATTTATATTGTTCCCCGATTGCTATGTTCCGTCGTAGATTTTACATGAACCTAGAAATTTGTGTTAGATGTGGAAATAATTTCTCAGAATTGTTGGGTAATGGAAACGGTAAGAGTATACTATAGGAAGTATTTTAAATAATTAATTGAGAAGATAATCAATTTAAACGAAGGCCGGCTTCGCGTATTGTTTTTTTCTTGCTCGACATAGTTAAGCTTTCTGTCTGTCTATTTGTTTGTCTCGTGAAAAATTCGTTTCTTATTCCTATTTTCTATTCATTGATAAACCAATTTTTAATTCTATGCTTCATTCTCTCTTATCCTTCCCCTCTTTTATTCTGATCCATAAGTGTGTATACGTGTGTGGCACCCTCGAGAAACTCGATAATACTAGGTCGACTAACGTTCCAGTAAGAAAATATATGTGTATATATGTATATTATATATATATATATATACAGATATATTTGTATACGTATGTGTATGTATTTTTAGGTATGCATATATATAAATATATCTATATATATAATATATTTATATATGCATTTGAACGTTTACTATGAAATACTTTATTAATAATCATATGTATATTATACAATAGTTATACAAAAATATTATTAACATTGTTAGTAAGTATGATTATACTTTGGATTATTTATTCAAATACTTTTGTGGTATCAGCGAAGTTTATGTTTGTAAGAAATAATTCATAACTATTGTATTTATATATATATATTTCGATTTGCTTGTAACTTTATCTATATAATTTACATAGTTATATCTACTTAGAATGTCAATAATATTTTAGTAATTCTTAATATAATTAATATAGTAATTCATGGTAAGTGTTCAAATACTTTCATGAGTCACTGTATACACGGGGTGTTGTAAAAAAAATATTACCACATTTTAAAAATTTGAAATACTTAACACATTTAAACCATGGAAAGAAAATTGTATCGATATTTAATAATTACTTTATAAACAATCGGAAAGTATGGTAACATTTTCTTACGACATCTGTTATAATATGTATTTACCTACGAAAGCCGATTTGTGCTACGATTTAAGTTTAACTGTATGTATGCAAATGTATGTATGCACGTATGAAACAATACAGTGATATATATGCGAGTACCATAATTAATTTTCACTTTTCACGTGCATGGACCAGCGCATATTTTAATTTTCCCTGGATTTTTCATTTTTCTTTTAACATGAATTTTAGAATCCAAAGTCGACTTATGGTTGTTATTTCTTATGAACATTTTGATTAACAATTGTTTTCTTTGTTTCTTTTTTTTTTACACTGTGTTTTAGGCAGTGACAGGGAAAAAATCGAAGGATCATTATTTTTAAACGTGTTTTTCAACTCGTATTTTCAATCGTGTGTATGATTATTATTAGTATTATTAGTCTCTCTCTATTAATATGTATATTTAATAATAATATATACATATATTATTATGTGTTCGCCGAAAAATCACATGCAACGTGTACGGACAAAAATTTATTTTCTTTGGACAGTCTCTAATTTCTAAACACGTTGATCGAGAACACCGATCTACGCGAAATTAGTCTTTTATTTTTTCATACAAATGTATTTATTCCAACCCTTTTCGAATATGAAAAAAAGAAAAAAAATTTCGCCATTTTACTTAGGCTTCGACATTTTTTCTTTTTATTTGTCGAAAAAACTTTGTTCTCTCGGAGAAAATATTAGATGATGCAAAAAGGGCACGGGGGAAGTTAATCTTTCTTCGTTTCGAGAAAAATAGGGAGAGATTTATTTCGATGTATGTGTATGTGTGTGTGTTTATTTGTGAAAAATAACATCATCGTCTGTTCTAAAATCAATGATTAGCAGGAACGATTCTCGATAATTTATCGTAGAAGATCTCAATTAAATCTAATTTTCGTGGTGAATCATGCCTTCGTATTATTATCATCATCATCATTATCATCATCATCATCATCATCATCATCGATGGATCTAAAGCTAAAGATATTGTTATACAATTCAGCGTTCTTCTTCTAAATCCTCGATAAATATCTAAACTCGAGGATAATGTATAAACGAGATGAGCTAAGTAGTTAGTTATGCGTTGAGCTTAATCGTATCTTCGAAAAGTAAAACTCAACGTGCTATACTCTCATTTATTTTTAATATATGTTTTTCATTATCTTATTGTTATTATTTTCTTCTTCTTCATCATCATCATTTTTATCTTCTTCTTTTTCTTCTTCTTTTTCTTCTTTTTCTTCTTCGACATCCGACCCGAGTAACAATCGTGACGATCACGCATGACCCAGAATCTTTCGGAGCCGGCAAATCTCGTTGGGAGAGAAAAAAATCTTTATATGAGCGATTACAGTCGTGGCAGCCAGCCTAGACTCGAGCCAAGTATCTTCTTGGTCTAGTCTTTTTTAGTCGTAAGGTGTTAAAAGCAGCAGCCTTTATATATGCTTTCACACCTTCTCCTTTCTGCTTTATACTCCCACCTTCTTCGATTTACTCGATTTCCTTCTCGTTGATCGTGTCAGGATATATTTTTGTTTATTTTTTTTTTACTTTCTTCTTTTCTTCTCTCTCTCTCTCTCTCTCTCTCTCTCTCTGTCTCTGTCTCTGTCTCTCTTTCTCAGTTGTGCAGAACAAGGTGTGAGATGTTGTCAAACATTGTCAATTCTAAACGCATTTTAGACACCGGTGTGATTAAATATGTAAGAAACATTGCTGTCCTGATGAACAGGTGGTCCATGACAAGCTGCACGCCTCGTAGATGAATTATTATTGTTGTTATTGTTATTGTTAACGTAATAAGACGACTTCCTCATACTTGTAGACGAGGACATCATAGCTACGGTCTCGTAATACCTAAGTTTACCGCAGCAACGACCACTCTTTAAAATGGCGACGAATCCTCGTCTATATTTCTTGTTGAAAAATGCATATAGGATCGGATTGATGCAAGAATTGCTAGCTCCCAACCATTGAGCTATCGGTGTAGCTATCGGTAAAATTTCATCTTCCCTTTCGGCAACGTCACCGCCAAATTTGATAACAGCAAAGATCACGTAAAGTGGAAGCCAAGAAAGTACGAACAATATCACTACTACTACCAACATCTTGACAACTTTAACCTTTGATTTCTGCTGTATCCGTTCCATCTGAGCATCCTTAGTGTCGGTTGGTATATGCCTACGCCATACTTTTATCCAGATCAAGATATAGCAAAGAGATATGAGGATCATCGGTAATACATAGCAAAGAGTAAGATTGCCTATCAGAAAGAACAGGGAACCATCCTCGGGATGTGGCCATGTCTCCAAACATAATCTCAAATCCGGATCGTCTTCGTAAATCGATACCAGGTCGAAAAACAGCAACCACGGTGAAGTGGTCGTTAATGCGATGAACCAGATCACCACGATCATCATTCGAGCTCGTCGTTTCGTTATCTGACATTTGAGCGGCCACCAGATAGCCAGGAACCTGTAAAATAAAAAATAAAGAGGAAAACTATCGTAAAAATTGATTAAAGATATTTTAAATAAACGAGAGAAAGGGATACCTTGATATCCTTTCCGTTATGAATATATATATATATACGATGGGATTAACTTGGGCAACAACAGTTTCTTGGCAAATTATTAAGACTCATTTATATGTATTTCGTTCCATTTTCGCGACTCCATCAAACGGTCGTTGAATATTAATTTGGTAAATTATTACACGGTTAAAACTCGAAATTGAAATTTCTAGTAGCTATTGTTATCTATCGTTGCTGTGTCAGTATTATATAATCGTTTATGTATCTCTAATTCTTCTCAAGTTTTGTTACCCCGATCTAATTTTTGAATACATTGAAATTATGTGGATAATTAAATTTACGAACGTAACTTTGTCAAAGTGATCAAAATTACAATATAGACTAATGTAAGAGAAAACGCTTAAAGCATTCGAAGACTTTTTATAGTTACTCAATAATCGAGTAAAGAACAATTCGCTTTAAGTTTATTAGTCCTTCGTTTGAAGATTGTAATCCGATCGTTTTAAAGATATTTAGTTGGCAGCTAAGCGAGTACGATTACTTTAACAAAAACCTATATCATATCAGAGATTGCAATGCTGTAAGTTGTACAACTTTGCTAATTCTTTGAGAAGTTTTGGTAAATATTTTTTATACTAAAAGTGAATAGATTTTAATGAAACTTATATTAAATTAAAGTACATTGCATTCTCTGACATTTTCTGAACCTTTGCAAATCGATTTATAACTCAAAAAGGTATTCTACGCGTAGACTTTAATTTAATATAAGTTTTATTAAAATCTATTCACTTTTATATAAAAAATATTTACCAAAACTTTTCAAAGAAATTGCAAAGATGCACAATTTATAGCATTGCATTCTCTGACATTTTCTGAACTTTACATGCTAAATTTATAACTCGATATGGTGTTCTACGCGTAGATAAAAGAGTGTACTTTAATTTAATATAAGTTTTATTAAAATCTATTCACTCTTTTAGTATAAAAAATATTTACCAAAACTTTTCAAAGAAATAGTAAAGTTGTACAATTTATAGCATTGCAATCTCTCATCAATATTCTTTTCAAATTACACTTTATCTGCCCCCCCCCTCCCAGCTTTTTATCAATATCATATTGAAAATAATTTTTGAAATTTTCCTCAAGTTAAGTTGCAATATTGTAGAAATATTTTATCGATTTTTTTTTAGTTTTCTTCTTTTTTTCTTCTGGATCTTCGCTCCTGATGGCAAACATTTCATGGAGAACTTTTTGTTTATGTTCTTAGTTTTTTCTTTTTTTAAATTCATTCTTCTTGCTTGTTCCTCAAATTTTCACGCAGGTCAACGTTATTTTTTGTTTCTTTCGCGTATTCTTTTTTTCGTAGGTGTTGACCAACTACCAGTAAAATAAGTTGTGCTATATTCTTTTTTTTTACGGATAAATTCCATTGGTAACAGATTATCGGGACTCATGATCGAATGATGAAATTAGCACGGAAAGAACAAATCGAATATTCTAATTAGATACTCGAGACCGATATCATTCCGGTTTATGTAATTGTGGCAGTGAATTGTTTAACGTGGAAAATCAAGTAGAGCAAGTATATTGAGATCTACGTATACGAGAACCCACACGTATTACTTACATAATTGTTCTGATCGACCATTCAACATTGTCGAGAATAAAATCAGGTTTGATTTGCATGCTTACTTTTAATGTTACACAATAATAAATAGATAACATTTCTTAGTTATTTGAAAAAAAAATTATATTCCCAAGATTAATTCCCAAATCGAATTGTTGGAAAAGGTTAAATGATACGTTTAACCGAAATGATTTTATATCAATCGACTAGTTTATGCCATCGGTATAATCAAATTTGCATAATTCCAACGTAGAAAATTCGAAATACAATCTGATTATAATTTTTGTATTTCATCTTACACACTAGGATATATCAATACCATCGAGGAATAAATTCATTCTCTCTTTCGAAAGGCACACAGGTTTATCTTGGTCACGCTTCGTTGAATTTATAAGTTTCAGCAACGCTTAGAAAATATTATAATAATTGAACGTGTTAGAGTTATCCCATACAGTTTAAAAATATGATATAGGTGCACAAGATATTTATTAGATTTTTTCCGAAGTTTCTTTACTGAGAGATCGTTCATAACCGATCGTTATCTGATCATCATAATCATCGTTGCACTCATTCGACAATAATCCTGAGGAATAGATGAAAGGTTAAGGTCGTTTAAAGATTTTTATACAAATCGATAAAACTCGTTTAATGGCATTAAAATGCATTGAACAACGTTACTATTACTGTCAGATGTTATTCTTTGTAATGCAAATGTGAGGGATGACTAAAAGATAAAAGATACTTATCGAACTTTTCTAAGAGAACGAAAAGAAGAGAGAGAGAGACGATGATAGGTCTTTTCTTTACATTCGGAAAGATTCCTCCTTTTTGAAAAGAAATCATTCGTTGTTCGCGTTTTTTTAATGATTTCCGGATATGCCGGAGGAGGAGTAACTTTGGCATAAAAGATAAAAAATAGGAAAAATAAGATAAAAAAAAAGAATTTCCTAGTTCCCAGGACTAACGTAAAGTATAAGCTTAGATCGATTCGCTTTCTCTATTCTATTCTATTCCATTCTATTCAATCTATGTATTAGATATATATAGATTTCTCGTTGAGTATTTTTTTAAGATTTTCCGATTGTAACAATCGTTGTAATGTCCTTCGAAACGATTGAATAAACTATCGATGTCCGAGTTAAAAAGTCTTTCTATAAATCAAGAGGGATCACGATATCAATCTATTGTACCTTGTATTGGTTCTCAGTGTTTTCTCGAGTAGATAATTTTTATTGACATAAGCTGCTGCAACGCGAAAGAAAGGATCTTCGAAGGAATAGAGAGAAAAAAAAAGTAATTCTTCTTCTTGTTCATCATCTTGTGGAGGGGAAGGACAAAGGCTAGGAGGAGGTTCTCATGGTAGGCATGATCAAGGTCGCAAATGCATATATATAGATAGGGGGCATATAGATGAGTACGACAAAGCTTTCGACACAAATATATAAAGAGAGTTCGGTTTTTCTGCAGTACTAACAACAGTAGCATCGATTCGCGTTCTCATCGTGTTTGCGAACGGAAAGCCGATAAAACGTTTAACATGTTCAAACTGGTAAGTAGTATTTCAGCCATTTTTCCACGTTACATATAATCGAGATTTTAAGTCCACTTGACGATATTCTCTATTGCACGCAAATAAAACTAATAGCTCACGATCACAGCTCCTCCGCTTCCTCGGTTTACTCTATTATTTTCCTTTTTTTATTTTTCATATTTTAAACATTTATTATCACCGATAGTGTCTTTGCCAAACGATATTTTCCATTTGTAGAATTCCATAAGAAAAATCAGCAACGATTGAATACACTATTATTTCTCGTGAATAGAAAAGCGCCCAATCAAAGCGCACCTTTAATCGATTCCATCTCATTGTTAATCAATCATTTAAAAGAAAATACAATATTAAAACATAAGAAATATTCGAATGAAATAACAGTCGAAATATTTGAATAGATATTACTGATATCGACGATTATGGCGATGAGCGGTGTTATGAGTGCTCCAGCACCGGGACCAGAACCAGCACCGGGACCAGAACCAGCACCGGGACCAGAACCAGCACCGGTACCACCATTATTGCCATCGCACAGCTTGGTTTATCCACAAAGCTATGTGAAAGTGATACCAGCAGTACATACACCGGCTTTACCATTGGCCTATCATCCTAGTTACAAATGGATCCATCCTGGCTCGGTTTATCTTTACTAACAGGACTCACAGGACAACAAAAGGATCGAATTGTATACGATGTCTAAATCAGCGTAGAACTTTAACAGGAATACACTTGATCCTTTATTTAATATTACAGTTAAAACAATAAACTATATACATATATAATTTTGATCAGGAATAAAAACGTATTGTTAAACTTCTCGATGAAATTGTACAATCAACTGGACAAATTCGAATTTCGTCTTAAATCTCATTTTTGCAGTGATGAAATCTCTTTTTTTTTTTCTTTTCCTTTATTTCACATCCATTTGATTTTCTATCTCGGGTCGTAAATCGCGCCGCGAAAAAAAATATTCCCATATTTTTTTTCACTTAAACATATACGCACGTCAAAGTCCCCATAATATCGTTTGTGTCGATAAGAAGAATCACGAGATGTGGAGAAGGAAAACTGGTCTTTGTCGGAAAATCGAAAAGGGGTTTTATTTTTAGTATGGTGCTGAAAGAGTATACCAATGAGAGTTGGAAGGGAACGGGGGAGAAAGGGATAGAAAAAATAATAAAGGGTTGGGTAGAGAACGTTGACTCCGTCGCAAGTTATCTGTAAAAGGGATTCTCGTAAAACTAGAAGGGGAAAGATAAAGATACCTCAAAATAGATATTTATATTTCTCTGTTGTACGTGCATACACACACTTTCATACACACACCTACATAAATACACGCGTCACAATAACCCCGAAAACAAATAAAATGGAAAGAAGTACATTTACACGAATACTTCTTTATCGTTCTTTGTAGGAACAGGTCGTTAAATTTTTCTTCCTACTCCGACGACCGAAATCATTTTCTTCTAACTTTATACGTATCTCCAAGGATTTTTCTTATTTTGATAATAACCGCATTTCCTCAAAATCGGATCAAATTTACGATTACACCTCGTAAATAACTTTTGAACAGATTTATTTGGTTAATCAAATGGGCGTACGAGCAGATCCGTTTCGTTTTGAAAGTTGCACCTCTATTGAGCTGAAGAGTTATTTAATGAGAGAGAGAGAGAGAGAGAGAGAGAGAGAGAGAGAAAATAAAGTTGGAAAAGGGTTCTTCCACTTGGGAAGAAGAAGAAGAAGAAGAAGAAGTATGATCTACCTTTTTAACCTTGACAACGTGTTAGTTTAGATAAACCCAAAGTCCTGGGTATGCGATAACGCAAAATGTTTGCAACGAGGTAGAGTTTAAACGAGATTAATCGAAATTTAATCTGGTCGTTTATCGACGAAACAAGCTGAAGCATAGTTTCACGTAACGTTTCCGCAAATAAATAACTGAGAGATCGTTCTTTGCGCATTAGGGATTAACGGTGTCTAGATAATGATCGCAATGTTTCATCGATATTTAAGAGATATTTAAATGTCAAAATATAAGAAAAAAGAAAAATTAATTGCTATGAGGTAACGGGGTGGTGCGAAATATATTAAGTAAAAGCAACGTTTTATAATTAAAATTTTATTAAAATTCCATATGAAAGGGGGAATAGGGATCAAGATGAAAGGGGTTTGTGTGGGGGAGGTAAAGGTGGAAAGATGATCAGACGAATATTCAAATTTTGTCAGGGATGACGAATATCCGAGAAGACAAAAAGATAATCTTTAAAAAGTTGGTTGTCCGAATGATAGAGAATAGTCGCCGATATTCCAGGGCCAATTCGATACTGTCCTCTTCCACGTGATTTTAGTCACTAATTTAAATCCTTAACCATTTTCCGGCGGATGATCAAAGGGGAATGTCCTGGTGGTATTGGTGGTGGTGAAGGTGTTGTGCGTTGGCGGTGACTCGTGGGTTCAAGGGATGAAGTTTTAGTTGTTGTTGTTGTTGTTGTTGTCGTTTCTCCGAGCCTATGGTATTTGCACCATCGTTAATAGCGCGAACGCAATTAACGAGGCCTTAGATGATATGAGGGTTGTTCTTGTCTCGTCATGACTGTTGGTTTGTTGGTAGGTGGTGGTGGTAGGTTGGAGATTTATCGTCGACATTATTGTCTAACCATGAAGGGGAGCAGCGTGGAGTAGAGGTGCAGCATAGGCAGCATGGTTGAGGACGGTCCTGGTGACAATGGGGGTCTGGAGGACAGCTGGGGCCACAGGCTGGGCTACAACATGAGCGGCAACGGGTGCAGCAGCGGCAACCACTTGGGGAGCGTGGATTGGGCCAGTTCCAGCACTGATGGCAATGCCAGTAAGACCTCCTGGAGCAGCAGCAGCGACAGCCAAAATGGCGGCGAGGACAGCCTAATTTACATAGTCAATCCACTAGATGTGAGTCACCGAACACGAGCTTGTTCACTTATATGAGATTGAAAAAATATTGATTTATGGTAAAGTTATAGTTAGTAGGCGAGTTTAGTAATAAGTAACAACGCGTAGGTTGTCTTACGGATTTACGAGTCCTTCATTTCGCGATTTTAAAGCCGGTTCCAAGTTATTCTACCTGATTTTTGTTTTTATGTCTTGTTTGTACCTTCGACCGATTACACAAGAACTCTCGCGCTTTTCTACTTTTCTTTTTTTTTTCTTTTTTTTTTCTTTTTTTTTTAGATCGCTCTCATGGAAGTAGCGTTAATACAAATGCCGAGAGAATTTTTCAAAGTGGGTGAATGGTGTATACGAATGTGTACAAACGTTCGCGTGCGTTTATATTTGTTCGCGTGCGCGTATAATCTCGAATAGAAAAAATGTATGGAAGTGAAAAAATAAGCGCAGTTCTAGGCTGCATTCCGTTTTTCCATGACTGGAAGTACACGAGCCGAGACTCAGAGACGACGACGACGACGACGACGACGACGTCGACGACGACGACGGGCTTTGCACGGTGTTGGCTAACAATGTGCATGCTCCAGTGATTTCGCTCGTTTCGATTTTTGTGACCCGAGACTGGAAGTCGTTCGAGTGAACGTAAGGGCAACTCTTTGAAACTGTATTTATATGTGTATCTAGATATGCGGGCGTAAAGGTCGTCGCAATGCAAGTCGAAAGAAAGAAACCGAAGGAGAAAAAGAGAGAGTGATAGAGATATAAAAGACTCTATTTCAAATATTTTCAATGGACCTATTCATTTTTATTCCGACACCGATGAACAAGATAAACAAGAAATTTATCTAGTGCAAGCTCAAAAAGATATTACGATATTTCATAAGATATTAATCGAGTTAATTCAAAATTAAATGAAAAAGACAAAAAAATGAGTACTTTGTTAAAATTTTATTAGGCAAGGATTAAATCCTACGTCAAAGCAAAGTGAGTTTTAAAAAATGAAGTAGTTGATATTATGATGGATGTTAGGTATTTTAGATTTTGATATTGTTATATGTATTGAGATTATATCTTTGTTGTTTCTTACCAGCTTGAACATGGTTGGTTGATTGGATTGGTTGTTTGCTTCGTAAAGGAAACTAAGCTTATGCTCGGATAGTGCACGGTCTCCCTTTTATACGAATGTCGAATTTTAAAAATGGTAATAAATTTGCTCACGTGGCCCGGTTGGACAGCATGATGTTAGAATACGTTCGGTTGAGTCAGCCGGTTGTAATAGAAGAGAAGGGGGTATCTCAACCAATTGGAGAACGGTACGGTTAGATACGTTATTGTTGATTGCCAATCGAGACGCTTTCAACCCTTCGCGCCTATCGCGAGAATTGGGTTAAATCAGTTTATGTGGTAATACAACGACGCGTGTACTTGTACACATAATACAATGTACAAACATCCATGCAATATTCGTACTATTTCTTTTTTTTTCTCTTCTAAAACCAGTTTTATTTTTTTCTTCTACGATTATTTCCTTTTTTTTCTTTTTATTCTTTTTTTCGCTAATTTTACTCGAATATTTTTGTTACGACGGAAAATAATCGTTGACAAAATGTTTTTAAATTTGAAAAAGAACAATGGATCGTTTGTAATTGTCACGAAATTGTTCGCATCTCTGAGGTATCTTTTTGGAAACGTAACGAAAATTATTAAAATAAATCTCTCTTTTTCTCTCTCTCTCAGATTTTTTAAACATACAACATAATTTTATTCTTTTTTTCTTTATCCACGAAAACGAATTCTTTCTATCACCAACCATACCTTACTACATTATTACAACTATATTTTTACTACTACTTTCGAAAATATTTTGTTCCTCCAATGAAATCTGAGACTCGCTCTACGTCTTTTGAAGAATATAGATTATCTTCTTTTTCTACGATCGAACTATTCCTTTCTAGTTCATCTACGTAAAAAAAATAAAATAAAATGATAACGCTAAAGGAAGAAGACGACGACGACGACGACGACGGCGACGACGCATGATTCCCTCCTTTTGGAAAAATATTATTGAATCCTCTCCGTTTTTTCTTCCTTTTATGTTAAAATATTGGAAATATAGACATGGTTTTGTGCTACTATATCTCAACGTGTCACGTTTAAAGTATACATTAACTTTCAATACAATCATTCGTGGAATATATAACCAAACGTATACTTTAGTGTTAACGAATTTCAATGAAAAAATACAAAACAAAAAAAAAATAATAATCACTGAGTTTGATCGCGTTAATCGCAAACCACGGTTCCTTACCTCGACTATAATTTTGTATGAAATTGATGTTAATGAATAGGTATATTACTTATTTGTTCATTAAAATTAATTCGTATTTGAAGCACAACGTTAAAAATAAATGTTTGTTTTATAATTTATCTACTGAAATTCTAGACTATTTTTATTAAGTATTCGTAAGGAATTCTATAGTTCTTTCATGTAACAATGACCGTACGTATTATGCTAGTTAGTGTAACAAACGTTCTTAGAATTGCATAAGAATTAGGAAGTGTCATACGATACTATGATTGAGATTATGGCACTATGTGAGGATATATCTTCTTATGGTTTAACAAGAGTATCACGTGTCAACCTATAAGAAATTTTCCTAAACTTGTCGCGGTGGTTTTGTTCAACAACTAATATGTTAAATCAACGATTTTTATATTTTTTCTTTTATTGCCTTTATTTTTTGTTTTTTTTTTTTTCATAAACCAACGATATCAAATAACTCGGATAATATCGTGTAACGAGTTGTAAAAATAAAATTCTTTCATGTTTAAGAATTATTTGAAGATAATCATGAGAAAAGTCGATTTTTTCTTGAACTTTTTTTAGGGCCATTCGATAGAGTCATCTTTTTTTTAGATAATTACGAAAAACCAACTCGTTTGAGTATATAATTAATTTTAGGATACCGAATTAACGTAATTGCAAGATTGCAATTAATTTGTATATTGCAATTGTGCAATGTCGGGGTTTACGATAAATAATTACTCGTCCTAGTTGAAGTATACAGTTTATCATAATCGTCATTAACACAATTCCTGCAGATTTAATCGAATTATTTTCTATTCGTTATAAATAAAAAAACAAAAAGGTCATTAATAAATATCTGCCGATGTATAATTGAGTATGCAACTCATACGTATAATTGTTACGAGATCGCATTACCAAGTGAATGATGAGGTAAACGTATCGCGGAGAGGGGAGGGGGGATTAGACATTGCGAATGTGTTGTAAGTTATGGTATTTTTTTAATTTCGCAAGATATCGAATGGCACAATTAAGATTTTTAATGTCACATTAACATAAATCGACAGTAATCTTAAGAGATAAAGATTTGCCATTTCAATTGGAAACATAACGAAATTATATTATAATATACGAATAGCATCTATTTAACGATTCATTCTCCGAATTTGAACGATCGAGGAAGAAAATAAACTCGACGAAATGAAATATTTATAAAAAGCTTCGTTTTCGGCTTTAGAAAGAAAAAGGAAACAAGTATTACGACGAAAAAGAAAATAATCGAATTTTCATTTAAACTCGTTCCAAATATAATCGGCTAATTCCCATTCACAGTCCCTCCGTGATGAGATTTAATCGAAATGCTAATTTAGTTATAACATACATTTTCTATTTCTCGGCGTACGTAGGTAGGAACGTTCTAGATCATCGGTCCAATGCGATCTTCGTTTAACAAGTCGAGAAAGATATTATCGGATGTCTCGGTGTAAAACACGCATTAAATTCCACCGACAGAGATATCAGATTTCATTAAAATGCATGATCTATGGGATACCTTCGTATAGAAGAAGCTTATTTCGTAAGTAGGTAGTATGTTATAGTACGCTTAACGTGTTTTAAAGCGTTTAAAGCGTTTAAAGCGTTTCTAACTCTTACAAGACGATTAGAATAATCGTTGGAGGGAGGGGGACGTACTCGATGACAAGGGATTTTCCTATCTCGACGAAAATTTATTTTATTTCACCAATTATTATAATACTATTATACGTACCTGTCTAGAGATACTGCAACGAGACTGTAAACTGAAGCAGCTACCGATACACCCTGAATGTAAGCCACTGCTTTACACATGAACCATCCCAGGAGCCATGCTGAAACACAAGTCCGAAATTTATTGACGATATATAAGCAAGAACGGGGACGGGGGAAACGTTTAAATATAATACGATTATAATACTCTATATATTTATTGCTCATTTACGTTCTAAGTTCTAACGGGAATAAATGAGACAAGCCTTGGGATCTTGTTTTTCTTTTTTTTTTTTCTTTTTGTAAATAACGTTACTCATCTTTTATTAGATTTTAGTAAATTCTATTATCATTTATAAGAAAAGATGACTTATGCATGATAAAAAGTTCCAGATTTAAGAGTTCGATTGATAAATCTAAGGGACCTTTAACGAGCTACCAAGAGAGTATGATCTTTGACCCTTGCACAGATAGAGACGAGAGTGGTCGAAAACGTGTACTCGGGTGCGGCCTTCGAAAGTATTGTACGAAGTGAAGGGTAACGTTTACGACGATCGTCAACGTAGAAAGGTAAATCCAGCGTTAAAGAGTAACATGATTATTATTCTTACTCGAATGGGTAATTTCCAGTTGTTGTTGACATAAAATAAAACGCAAAACGCCTCTGTCACCGCGATACCAATGATGCATGCATGCATACATGCATGATCGAGAAAGAAATGATTTCTTGACTTCAATGATATTTTTATCCTTTTTATTTCAAATAAAATCAACGTAACGTCCTGACGACAATTTTCGTAATCGTGTAAAATAACGTTTGCATTCTTGAAACAAATGTAATTTTTTGCGAACGCACGTAGATTAGGCTTGGTTACATCGTAATTCGCGTTTGCCTTCACCCGCATTATATTCTGGATCGAGATTATATTATATAATTCTTATTTTATTATTATATTTCTACTAGCGCATTTGGTTTATGCATCGTTAATTTCTGCTCTGTAGGTGGGGATCAAACGTTCTACCAGAGTATATAAAAGCCAATAGATATATTACGTTCGTTATACTTACGAATACTCGATCCTCCTATAAAAGACGTGTGTTTCCACGAGTAATAACAAATTTCTTGCTAATTATAAACATTCGTAAGTTAAGATAAAACTATATTGCTTTGGAATCGTAATAATCGAATAGTTAGCTACATTTTTCTATTGAGATATTTTTAAACGAGTTTGTATTTGCTGTTCGTACATGTAACACAACTCGATAATATCATGAAAATATTATCGGTTGTTGTTCGACATTGTTATACGCCTGAAAAAGGTTAAACCAATTCGCATATTTGTGAGTGTGTGTGTGTGTCTATGCATTATCAAACAATACGTCCAATGATAAGAATTATCTCCATAATAATAGATTTTTTTTGCATTCGCATAGATTGTAGTAGGGAAAATCGTAAGAAGAAAGGAATTCAATTTCTTTCGTTCAAGATTCGGAAGGATCTACTTTAAAAAAAAAAAGAAAAATAACACGTCTTTCTAACGTATACATGTCGTCACGTACGTACACGACGTTTCTCTTCAAGTCTAAAGCTTACAATGCTTTCCATCGGACGTCGCTTTGAGACTTCCTGAGAAAAATCCTCTTTTCCTCTCTCTCTCTCTCTCTCTCTCTCTCTCTTTCTCTCTTTCTCTTTCTCTTTCTATCTTTCTCTCCTCGTGCTAGTATCAAACGTTCCCTTAACTTTTCTCACTCCTTTTCTGCCCACTCCTTTTTACGTGACTACATTGCCAAGATAGGAGGACTCTTAGAAAGAAGTATCCTCTTTTTCTTCTTTTCTTCTTCTTTTTTTCTTCTTTTTTTCTTCTTTTTTTCTTTTTTTTCTCTCTATTTCTTTCTTTTTTTTTTTTTTGGCTGAAAAACATCCCCTTCTTTTCTTATCTCAACACAGATTTATCCTAATAGACTTTTAGCTTCGATGTGATATTTATTTTAATTTTTTTCTATTCGATTCGATTATATCGAAGGACGATTTAGATTTTTTTTCTGTTTTGATAGAGAAAAAATAATTTCGGGCGGGTCGGAGGAAGAAAGTTGAGGGAAACGAACGAAACTTGTAGGATCGTGAGAGTACATTGATGAAAATGAAAAATAAACAGTATATAGGGATTTAACGAATTTATTTATTTTTTTTCTACCATAGATCATAACTGAGAAAACTATATGACAGTTAAACGATGCGCGAACGAGTTGGAAATAAACACAAAAGAAAAAAAACAAGAAATAGGTTTTATTCGTATGAGAAACTTTCGACTCTCTTAACTGCTATGAATAATTTTTTTTTTCCACTTCTTCTTGATAAAAGTAACACGAAATTGTATATTTCGTAAAAAAATTATTTTTTCAAGTCAACACGATAATTATAAGCGTTTTACATACTTTTTTTTCCTGCTTCTCTACACCGGTCGTACGTCGGATTTTAATTAACGAATTTAATTAAACTAAACTGTCCCGTTACAGCAGTAGAATATCTCCTTTTCAATTACATCATATTCTTGCACGACATTATCGAATAGGTGGTAATTATGCACGTATTTCGTAACCAGTTATAATTAAGTCTAGTTGTGTGAATCGATTGTATAAAACGTTTGATATATTATTATGGAAAGAAAACAAAACAAGTATCCTCTTAAAACATTCCAAACCTCTTTTTAATAAACTTATATTATCTTTCATATAATCCATTTTTGGTTTGTTACGAAGTATAAATAACACAATTTTATAATATAATCTATTCATCTAATTCCCCTCCTTTCCTTCCTTTCCTTCCTTTCCTATCGAAGAAATTATTAAGAAGATAGGATAAGAGATAATATACGGTAGGTAATTTTCTATGGAATATACTTCAATAAATAAATTTAAAAAAATAAATAAAACTAAGAAGAATTCTCACGTCAATAGGATAAGGGGCCTGGTTTATAGATCGGTTAATATAAACGGCAAATTCCGAATTTTATCTCGATATCTGCAAACGTGTATATGCGAATAGAAAAGGATAGATAATGTGACAGGTATGAAAGAGAGTGAGAAAGAGACGTGTGTTATTCAACCTACGAGCTGACCGTTCGTTCGGTACTGGCGAGCGAGTTTTAACCGAGTCACGTTTTATATCTAATGCAAACATTTTTCCAATTGCCAACCTACACGTACATACATATCTTAAATAACGAGAGAGTATCTATAATATTATACGTGTGCGTACACGTTTTCTCTTTCTGCATATTCTATACTTTCACTGTTTTCTACGCTCGATTGGACAAGGTCCCCCGACGGCGTGTGTTCAAACACACTTACACATATTGAACTCGCTTATATGTCTCCCTCTTCCCCCGCCCACCCCCCACCCATCTTTTCCACCCCCTATCCTTCCTACGAGTAAATTCTATTCACAATGCATAGAAATGATTTGGATTACGAACAAACTTGTTTTAAATTTAATTTTTTTTCTATTCTTTTTTTATTGTTTCTTTTTTTTTTCGTTTTGTTTCATACCCAAAGATAATAATTCATTCCTCACATAATGTGAAACGTATAATTTTCTTTTTTATTTTTTCAAATTTTTCTATTACTAATTGTATATATGTTACCGTCAAAGCCCCGGGAATCAGGCATTACTAGTAAATCCTCGGCATTACTATGAATGTGAAGAGTCTTCAGACGAAGTCAGAAATAAGCCTTTTTGGAGAGTTTTTCCTAGGCATAGAACATAATATTTTGATATTCTATAACTACAATTACTATTAAAACAACATTGAAAAGAATACATCCTCGGGACAGACACACAAAGCGCTACGCAACCATTTCAAAGAAATATCAGAGATTGCAATGCTGAAAATTGTACATCTTTTCTATTTCTTTGAAAAGTTTCGGTAAATATTTTTTATACTAAAAGTGAATAGATTTTATTGAAACTTATATTMAATTAAAGTACACTCTTTTGTCTACGCGTAGAGTACCTTTTCGCGGTATAAATCAATCTGCCTGATGGCATTTTGATTCCCAGGCATTGTTAGCATTGCCGGGGAAGGTTTGGAACCTAGGCCTAGGGCTGGTATGAGAGAGGAGGATTAAAATTTATCGAAGGAGGAAATATTGGGTGAAATAAAAAAAGGAAAAAAAAAAAGAAAAAGAAAAAACGAAGAGGAATCCTTATTAATATCGCATTAAGTCGATTTATAATGAGCTTTCGACACAAATTTGTTGCTTTTACAAACGTCGAACGTTAAAGCCGTAGTTGGAGCGGTATCAAAATGAGAAAGAGAGAGAGAGAAAAAAGATTCATCTGGCACAGGAGCCAAATAAGCAAAAAGCTGCGAATTGTACAGGTCGGCGAAGTGAAAATTGAAACGTTTGGACGGACGCGTTTTCTCTCTCTCTCTGTCTCTCTCTTTCTATCTGTCTATCTGTATGTATGTATGTCTGTCTGTTTAGCTTTTACCCTTTCCACTAAGAGTTCACTCTTTGGACTACTCGACGATGGAAGTAGTCGATTCGAAGCACCGAGACCGGCCTCGAAGGATTTCAATCGCAGAACCGTGACCTCGTATCCGTAGCTCTTTTATGATTCCTCCTTCTCTCTCTCTCTCTCTCTCTCTCTCTCTCTCTCTCTCTCTCATCCGTTCGATCACGCGTGAACTTATAGTGTGAAGGTGTGGTGTTGCAGTCTCGGTCGTTAGTTTTTCCTCCTCCACCTTTTTCTTTTTCTTTTTTCTGTCTTATTTTTTCTTTTTTTCCTTTTTGCTCTTTTGTCGTTGTCGTTGTTGTTGGTTTTCTCTTATGTGACATTTTCGCTTGAAAAAATATTTTACATAACCGTGTCTGATTGAACGCAAGGAAAAAGAAAAGAAAAGAAAAGAAAAGTATTCTTTAAAAAGCATTATTATATTATTATTATTATTATTATTATTATTATTAAATGGTAATTAATTTTTTATTCGTTATCTATCGTTTTATTTCGATCACCGATAAATCGACGTATTTTTTTTTTAAATGCGCGTCGAAGAGCACACGTACGCGCATTTATTCATTTTATCGATGATTTATTATGAAGATTTGAAAGAATTGT